GCAGCTGCTGCGGTGGCCCGCGCCGCGCTCGCGCCCAGGACGGCTGCCAGGGCCTGGGGGGCGGGGTAGGGAAGACAGAGGAAGGGGTCTGCCTGCCCGCTCGCTTGCTCTTGCCTAATTATGGTTTATTTCCTCCCCCGGGCGCCGTCTTTGATGTGTGAAGGGAACGAAAATTCTCTTTTAAACACGAGGGATGCACACAGCCTTTTCGGACACTTTGATTTGATCTGTTGAGCGTGCTTTCGGCAGCAAAATGGAATAAGAAAACTCACTGCAGCGAATGGCAAAGACGCTTGAACCACAAACTTTGTTCTCTTTTCTTTCTTTTTTAAAATCTAGTCTACTAAAGCATGAATGTTCTTCAAAGTTACAAGTAAAATGCAGTAGGATTTTAAATGACTAGAAGCATCTTTCAACATGTGGGTAGTCCCTGACTGGAGCAAACGGGGTTCAGACATTGTTTGACTATTTGGTCATTGAAAAAAAAGAAATCCAAACAAATCAAGAGCTACTAAGAAGGAGACATTTGGAAGTCATCCAAGTTGGGTGACAAATAAACAGATTATATATTTAGTCATAAATCTCTATGCTGTGCACGATTTAAACAGTTCTCCAGCAAAATCAAATGTTAACTCCTCATTTCCAGGGAAAGTAAAGACCTTTCCCTAGGATGAAAAAGGCATGTAAAAGATGATTTTTTAAAAAAAATAAATATAGCAACATAGGTTTGCAATGTGTGCTGTGTTTACATTTACATAAATATCTACTTTCTGATGCTTATATGATACTTTAAATTAGCAGTAAAGATTTCTTGTCACAAAACTGAATTGAGAAACAGCACAATTGCTTAATTACTAGTTAGTTGAGAATCTGGGCTCTGGAGTCTTCCTGGCTAGTTCAAACAGGGCTTCAAACCGGTTGGTTCTCGTTGGAACACCTGCTGAGAATTTGCTTTTCTAACAAGTTGCCAGGTGGATGCTAATGCTGCTGGTTAGGGACCAATTCTCAGAACCACTAGTAAAGCAGTGGTTCTCAAAATTTATTATACATAAGAATCACCTGGGAATCTTGTTAAACTGTAGATTCTGTTTCACTATATCTAAGATGGAAATACAAATTCTCAGCAGGGTTTCAAACCAGAACGAACTGATTCGAAGCCCTGGTTCAAATCCAAATACCAGCTGTGAGAGCCTAGGCACGTTACTGAATCTCCCTACACTTCACTTTCTTCACCTATAAAAGTGAAGGGGCAATAATAGGGTTAACTGAAATAACAGCCTATAGTAATTGTTCGTAAATGTTATTGATGTTATTTTCACACTTACTGCCCCCAAATGAAGACATTTAGAAGAAAATGAAATATAGCCTCTCCCACTTTACTTCAATTGCAGGAGAAAGGATCTTGCTTTGGGGAGTAGAGTAATAAATTCTTTCCAATATCATCATAATTAAAATGAGGATACATTGGATAATTACATGCGGCACTTTGCTAGGTGGTGTACAGAGTAGCATCCTGCATTGCCCTGGCCGGCACACAAGCTTCATGTCACCCTGGTTGCTAGCAACTCTTTTCTTTCTAGATGACTCTTTCTTAGTCATACTCCGTTATTTGCTGACTGGAATGCCAGAAGGAGAGCAGGAACCAAGAAGGAAGCATTGTTTCCTGCCAGGACCACTTTCCTCTGTAATCCCTCAGAAGCTTGCCATAAACAACATGGAAGTGTTTATGCCTATAATGGAGCTCATCCTAACACAGACCAACCTGCTTCATTCATACATTTTAAAAACCTGTAATGTAGTAACACCAAGCGCAACAGGTTAAGGGCATTTGGACAGTGGTTACTAAAGGGTTAATGCATGAGTTGTACATTTAGACAGCCTCAATTATCGAGTTTACATTTAGTACCCAGCCCTCACAGAAATCTGGATTCCCCTCTGAAGCCAGATGGCCCCAGATGCATCCCGGTCTATCTTTAGGTTTTGCACACGCGCGTGCGCACATACACACGCACGCAGATACACACACTCAACAAAGAAACATAAGGAGTTAATTGTAAAAACAGGAAGCTTTAGACCAGACTGAGGTCCGGGGGAACTTATGTGAAAATCTACCAATTCACAATTCTCTAGTTTGACAACAGCCTTAAAAATGCTTTATAATATCTCAAGAGTACACTCAGGAAATTTCTCTGTCTGGCAAAAGAGGGATTGTACATTAGAAACAATCTAATGATCTTTGAATTGCAACATCCTATAAGATTAAATCCAAAAGTTTCCTATCGTCCCTTTACTCAGGAAGAGATTTCTTCAAGGTAATTTTTTTTGGATTTTGTGGTCATTTATTTGTGCTGAGTTCATCCTTTCTTAGAATGTTAATTCCAGCCGAGAAAGACTTTGGAAAAATCATACCCATATGGTTGGGTCTAAGTTATTTGCTCAGCTCTCTTCTGATCAGAAGCTAAATGGTTGGAAAGGACCATGGTCCTCAGGTTAGGCATCACAGAGAGAAATCCTCCCTGTATTTTAGTTGAGGCTTCCCGCTGCAGGTTACACAGTCATCATACCACCCGTACACCAGAAGCACCTATGTCTACCGCCATCTTGATTCACATTTTGGGAGATGATAGACTCATCCCAAACCAGGCTCCACAGTGACAAATATTTTTAAATGCGGGCTTGCAAAGTTAATCATATTCAGACTAGTACAATAAAGGCATCACAAATACAGCAGCAGAAAGGCACCATTGTTCATCATAGCCAAAAAGTGGAAACAACTCAAATGTCCATCAACTGATAAATGAATAAATAAAATGTGGTATATCTATACAATGATGGCATAGTGGTTAAGAGAGCCTGGCTGCCAACCAAAAGGTCAGCAGTTCGAATCCACCAGCCGCTCCTTGGAAACCCTAAGGGGGGGTCCTATAGGGTCTCTATGAGCCAGAATCAACTTGATGACAATGAGTTTGGTTTATATCTATACAATGATATATTACTTGCAATAAAAGAGAATGATATACTGATACATGCTACAATATGGATGAACCAGTCACAAAGGACCATATAGTATATGATTCCATTTAATAAAAAACCAGAAGAGACAAGTTTATAAACACAGAAAGTGGATTAGTGGCTGCATAGAGCTGGGGAGGTTGGAGAATCAAGGAATGATGTCTGAGGGGTGCAGGGTTTCTTTTTGGGAAAACAAAAATGTTCTAAAATTGATTGTGGTGATGGATGCACAACTCTGCGAGTATACTAAAAGCCATCAAACTGAACACTTTAAATGGGTAAATTGTATGGTATGTGAATTACATGTCAATACAACTGTTTTTTAAAAAAGAATGGTACCACTGTTTCCTCTTTCCGCCATCTTGGAGCCTGTGGAAGCCTGCTGGGAACAGGACTTCTAAACTGGCATATATGTCTGGAAGGCTGTGCTCTTAAGACTGGCTATAAACAGGGTCTCCAGAACTAGGGGAAGTACAACACTCTTCTTAAAACTGAAGGTGTACAAACTGACAACAGCAACTCGAAATACTAGAAAGAAAACTTAGGGGACAGCGAGTTTACATTAATGGAGGAGGAATAATTCAGAAAAGGAGGGTGAGTATGGTTGCATAACTTAAAGAACGTAATCAGTGTCACTGAACTGTACATCTAGAAATTGTCAAATTGGTGTATGTTCTGCTGTGTATATTCTCTACGACAACAACAAATAAAATATATATATATTTTTTTAAATTGAAGGTGTTTATGCCCTAGAAGAAACTGAATTCTATTTAGGCAAGAGATGTGCTTATGTATACAAAGCAAAGAACGACCCAGTGACTCCTGGTGGCAAACCTAACAAAACCAGAGTAATCTGGCGAAAGGTAACTCACACTCATTAATACAATGGCATGGTTTGTGCCAAATTCCGAAGCAACTTTCCTGCTAAAGCCACTGGACACAGAATCCATGTCATGCAGTGCCCCTCAAGGATTTGAACTTATTAAAATTAAATCATAACAAAAAAAGAATGGTACTATTGCCTCATGAAAATTTAAAAAGTGATGCCATCAAGAAATCCAATGTCTTGTAGACCCTTCACAAAGGTCTGTAAGTCCTCTTGTTCTAATGAACAAGATTTTAAAATTCACCTAAGAACACAGAAGATATATATTTTAACTCTTTCACTCCTACTGGTACATATAGGTATTGCTTACATTTTCCACCTCTGGTGTTTCTGGGGAGGCTTTTTCACCACTTACGGTGTTTCTGGGGAGGCTTTTTTACTACTTATGGTACGTGCTGGCATTGGGGAAGGTATTCGCATTAACTACGTAAGACAGAAGAAAGTTTGTCAGTGAACTTTCTGGGTTGAGAAGTTATTGCATGAGATGCTGCACCCTGGAAGAGTGATTGTGTAAAACTTCTGTCTCTTCAGGCTTCTGTACAGAGAGATAAGGCTTGTAAGTATATTTACTGTTTCCTGTGTGTTGTTGGGAAGGTGCCGTGTCATGGATTGAATTGCGTCCCACAAAAATATGTGTCAACTTGGCTAGGCCACGCGTCCCAGAATTGTGTGGTTGTCCTCCATTTTGTGATCTGATTATCCTCCATTTTGTGATGTGTTGTAAATCCTAGACACTATACCTGTGGTTATGGTCCCATTTGGGAGTAAGGTGTCCATTATGTTAAAGAGGCAGGATTGGGTCATGTTAATGAGGATTAGGGTGGAATGTAACACCCTTACTCAGGTCACAGCCCTGATCCAATGTAATGGGAGTTTCCCTGG